CTACTACTACTACTACTACTACTACTACTACTACTACTACTACTACTACTACTACTACTACTACTACTACTACTACTACTACTACTACTACTACTACTACTACTCATCATCATCATCATCATCATCATCATCATCATCATCATCATCATCATCATCATCATCATCATCATCATCATCATCATCATCATCATCATCATCATCATCATCATCATCATCATCATCATATTCATCAATCTCCTGCTCCTGATCCTCCTCTCCTCCTCCTCCTCCTCCTCCTCCTCCCATCATCCACTTACAGGGCTCTGAGCATAGAGAAATCCTTCGAATGGCGGGCCAACCCCTTTAGTTCTAGAATCGACTAGTCAGTCTGCTACTAGTCAGTGGGCAGCTGCTCCGATCATTTCCCCGGGCCCCGGCCCTGGCCAGTGCACGTGCAATGGTCGAAGCACGAGGATCGTATCATGGCGGAGCGCGACAGTTGCGGAGAGGAGGAGGAGGAGGAGGAGGAGTGTAGTAGAGGAAGCAGAGGGGCGGCAAGATGTCTTCGGATCTCAAAAATGCATGCGAGGATAGGAAGGACTCTATGGCTCCTCCCCCAGCAGCAGCATGCGATGCAAAGGCATCTTTGCTTCTTTCTGGGTAAACATGCAAGTGCGAGCAGCTGAGAGGGAGCTCTCAACCTAAAGGAGACTGGATCTCTAGCTAATGGCAAGCGCCGAGGAATTTTGTTGCAGGTAAGGAGTGTTGAATGGCCTGTTGTTGTTCCATGCTTCCTATGTAGCGGCAGCGGTCAAATGATGCACTTTACGTCAGTACCGACTGAATCCTCTCAGTCTCAGACTGAAGATTCTGAAGTCAGCTTTGTAAATGATGACTCGCTCTCTCTCCCTCCTCCGTCCCTTTGGACCCTCTGCTTCACGCTGATACCTCGGACAGGTGGCGCGTGAGGGGTCGATTGCTAACAGCGTGCCATGCCCAATGAATCTTGTAGAAGCATGTAAACACTTTGAGTATGGACGATAGATGTTGCAGTTCAATCATACAAATTTTTATGAGATGTGATCAATGTTTGAGCTCGAATGAAAGTCGACAAATAAACACATTCAAAGTCATGCTAGGGTGACGTCAAAGCTTTACAGTATGAACGCACTTTAACAGTGTTGAACCATAGTTTATGTACATCAAACAACGCTTTTATCGGAAGACATCTCTGTCTTCTCACCTTACCCGTTGTGAACATGCTCAGTGCATACAAATCGTGACTTCAGCTCTAGCGATATCGGCACCCGCGTGCCTGTTCAGAAGCTCCTCCCTTTACTTGTTGTAGCTGCGAAGCTTTGCCAGCCGACTCTGAAGCTGGGAGATTCGGTCTGAAAGAGCCACCTCCCACTCCTTACAAGTCCCGTAGATCGAAGGGGGCTGAGTAGCATCCATCTTCTTGTGCTCCGGGACGCTGCTGTTAACGCTGCCGCTAACGCTGCTGTTGCTGTTTCTTTCTGCGCTGACGGCACCTGCATTGCACTGTTCTTGACTTCCATGTCCTTGGAGCTCGGCCGCTTCACCGAGACTGTATGCTGCTCGCTCTGCCTTACCAGGTTGGACTGGACCGTCTCCGTGATAGAGTGCCTATGGGGAACCTGCGACAGGGTTCAGCAAGTGTTTTCTCACAGCGACATGCTATCAGTACATGATGACGCAGCACGTGTTGACTTCTGTTAACCTCGGGGCCTCGAGGCGACTCAACCTTGCAGGCTGTCTCACGGACCCGTTCGATGATCGACTTGCTCCTGTCCTTGCACTGGGCTGCTGATGCTGGGGGAGCCTTGCTCGAGACCACCACCGAACTTGCTTCCCGACTTGTCTCCACCTTGCTCGGATGACTTGACTTGCTACTTCGCTCATCCTCCTCAGCTGTCCCAGAGAACTCCGAGGCATCCGCGATGGTATTCGAGCTTCCGGCAGACTCCGACGCAGCCTTCGTGCTGCAGAGGCTTAAGGGCGTCTGCGAGGAGACCTGCCCAGGAGAGTACATCTCGTTGGATTCATTGCTGCCTTGCGATAGCTCGATCCGCAGCCGGGTGACCCCGGGCTCGTGCTTGCTGCTCTCGCCGTCGGCAGCTTCCTCGTAGCAACCGACGCCAAGGGGGATGTTCGGGATCTCCGAGTAGTCATCAAAGGTATTGATCTCCTCGTCATCCATGTAGCTCTTGGAGGCGATTTCCAGGCAGCCAGTATCGTCAGTCCTCTTGGAGTCGAAGTTGCTAGGAAGACGCAGCGTCAAGGGATGAGGGGCACAGCAAAGGCGCAGCCTTACCTGTCAAAGAAGAAGGGGTGCTTCTTCGCATCCGTGGCGTTGATACGTAGGTTGGGGTCGAAGGCGAGCATGTCCTCAAGAAGCGAGAGGAGCTGCGCGTCGTAGATCATGTCTGACAAGACCTTCTTGACCCTTGACCCCGCAGACAAACTCCTGACCGGTCGGGTACAGTCGGATCTCAGCCTGTACTTGGCAGATGCCTTTCCTTGCCGAATCAAGTCAGGAGGAAACGAGTTCTCCGTCACGAAGGAGATGACGCTGAGATATTCGGCTTCGTTGCATGCAGGAAAGAGGAAGTCTCCGATACAAAGCTCCGCCAGCACACAACCGATCGCGTACATGTCCACAGGATACGACCAAGCTGAAGCAGTAGAGGTTAAAACAAGCAGATGGCAGCACAACATGAGCGGCTACCTGCTTGTAGAATGATCTCTGGCGCTCTGTACTCCAACGTTCCGATGACTGGTGGGTGCCAGTCATTGACAAAGATAGCGGAGCCCAAGTCAACGACTTTGATTGTAACTGCACCATCAGGGCCTGTCGTGCAAGTTACCAACAGCAGTCCATGAAGCAGGTATGATAAGCACCATGCGCGAGTAAAATGTTCTCAGCTTTTATATCAGTGTGGATAACGCCCTTGTTGTGCATGTAACAAGTAGCATGCACTATCTGCAGACCAATATCCTTGATCTGCACAACTAGATCAAAGAGAGATCAGAAAACGCTTGGCTCTAAAACACCTCCTGGATCTTGAAAGGTTTCTTGTTCCGTCTCATGTAATGCTGAATGTTGTCTCCATACATTTCCAATGACATGCATATGTGCCCGTCGTGAACGAAGTCTCGCAGAAGCTTCACCAGGCCATGAGTTCCACCTGAGAGTGTGGTAAGGTGGACCGGATCAAACTACCGCCTTCCAATCACCGAGGTAACGGAGCACTTTGATCTCCTTCTTTGCTGCTTCTTTGTAGATCGGAGGATCTCTCCGTACAATCTTGACCGCAACTGGCAAATTGTATTTCTTGTCCGTACATTCCAAAACCTTGAGGGTCATGTCACCAGCGGCATGAAAGCATTCAGCTATCAACCTTTCCATAGGTTCCCGCACCCAGTTTTCGCTTGATGATATACCTCCCGCTAGGGAAATCTTTGGAGCGATTGATAGAATCTCCAACGTACCCCACAAAGTGACCGGAATCTTGCTATGGGATACAATCATCAACCCGGACGTAACAGGTGGGGTTCTGTCACAGTTACCGTGGGGGTGGGGACTATTTTCACCGGAGGCACCGGATTTGCAACTCGTGTGCGGATTCTGTCGTCCATCACCTCCTGTTCAACCCGCTGTCAACCGACGAGGATAAGAGTTGTTCAACAATGTATCACAATGTTCTTTGGAGATGCGACAGTGGAGTAGTCTTTCGCCTGAGATGGAGTTAGTCACCGCAAATAATCGTCGTTGAAGATCACATTTTGAGTCTGCCCTCCATTCGCCGTCTTGTACGCCGTTGATGGCGATAGTGGGAAGTAGGCTCCTCCTGTAAAACGTCTCAGGTCAGGGTAATCAAAAGGTCTCATCGCACAAAACCTGCTTGGTAGCCGTACATATTATAATGTCGAAGCTATCTGTTCGGGAGAAACGTCAGTCATTCCACACCATCACAAAATCAGAAGAAAATCATTTCATGATGAAGTGAAATTTTCATAATATATTGAATGCACAAAAACTGATCTCCTATCTCTCAAAACTGGTGGCCATGCTCAAAACAATGAGCTCGGTTCTACGCATTTGCAGATAGACAACACGAAGCGACTTTTCCCATCTAAATCACTCCACATCTGTTATCAACAAGGCTCATTTTTTTCGCACCCTTCTTGTGCTTTTCTTCTATACCTTACTCACTGTGACCGTAAGAAATCAAAAATCCTACGCAGCAATCCACTAGATCAACCTTGGAGGAAACACGCTCGGACTTGATTTTACACCAACTTGTCGCCTTCATATTCTGGTCTACATATTCTCACTGCCCAGCATTCTACTCATCCTCTCCGCATGCTCCGCACTCGCCAGCCATCCTCTCGTGAACTTCAAGTGAGGTTCATCATCGCCCAAGGTCATCCGACTCTCGTTACCTGGAAGGGTCCCTCCGAAAAGCACTAAAGGTTAATATTCAATTATTGTTTCATTGAAATTTGAATAACATCGATCAAATTTGGATTGATTTTGATACTTCAGGACCTCTTAATTAACCGAAGGGTGAAAGTAC